AAATAAAATTTAAACATTAATCTTTTTATATTATTATGTTACAAAAATTTATTCATTAAAAATATGCTATATAATTTTAAATGTTAAAAATGAAAAAAAAGTTTTTTTTAAAATAAAATATTTTGAAAATGATTTTAATTTAATATAATAAAATAAATTTTAGTATAATTATTGCAAGATAACAAACACTCAATTGTAACTTCATATCAACAAGTAATAAAACATCCTACAGTTTATTATTAGAATGATAATACAAATGTATAGCATATTATGTAAGAAATATTGCAAGAATTGTTGTTATTTATATATTAATACAATATTAAAATAGTATTAATATTTATGTAAAAGCCAATTCTAAAAAACTTCAGACACAAAAGTTAATATATAAAAGTATTGGTTGAAGTTTATTTATTAAGTTAGCAATTTAAGTTCGCGTTAAATTCGCATAAATCAAGACAAAAACGGAATGCGACGATAGAATCAAATTGGTCTTACTTTTTTCCCATTTCATTTTTCAATACAAAACTTTAATTTAATTATTTATTACTTAATAAATAAACCTAATTGATATTTTCTTTTATATTTATTTTGATTTTCAGAATCCATTCTTCAAAAATATTATACGAATATATTAACATCCTATATATTAAATTTTATACAAGAAAATTTATTAGTATTCATAATTTTTATTTTATTTTGTAATAATATTAGTTCAATTGTAGTTCAATAAAAATTTAAGTATTACTTGTATTATGAATATATAAAGTATGTTTCATAAAGTAAATATGCTTATTAAAATGATACATTTTTATAAAAAATAAATTATTTACTAGGAATTACATACAAATTATATATAACGTCATTATATTGAAAAATTTTATATAGCATTCATTATTCATTCAAAATATAAGTAATAATTTATTATTAATTTATGATCAGATATTTATAGTGATACTAATTTATTTATTTTTTTATGTGGACTATTTACCATAATTTCTTGTGAAATTATTTAAATAGATAAAATTTTGCACATCAATGTAATGCAAAATAACATATCATCTCACTTTATTTAAGAAATTAGATATTACTTTTATTCTTACATGATGAGATGTTATAGACTCTAATCAATTCACTCTTCATACCTAAAATGACATTATTTATAGTGATATTAAAAATATATAGTCTACATAACAGTGATTAATTTGTTTATTCTAATTAATTTAAATTCAATCAAATATCTAGTCTTATTAAATAAGTTACACAATCTATAATAAGATTTATTTGAACCTGTATTCAAATTGAAGATGTTCACTTCAAAAAAAGCAATATAATTTCGATAATATAATTAAAAAATAAAATTATATTGAAAATGTTTTTATAATTCTTTTTTCTTAATTTTAATATACTCAATTCATTTCCTACAATACTTCTTACATAAAATTGTATATGAATATATAATATATATATTGTAATACTTTATAAAAAATATACTTGTATATTTACTGATATATTTTATTGCAAAATTAACATAATTATTTTTTATTAATACAATACAATAATTGAACAATAAACATTTTATCAATTGATTTTATAGATGATAGTAAATATACAAATATTTTAAAATTTGTGAATAACAACTCACTTTAAATTTACAAATTCATGCAATAAGCTCACGGGATTAAGCATGATATAAAATTCTCTTCATTGAACATAAAATTTGAAAAAATCTATGTATGCTATAATTGTAAACATCTGTTCAGTTTGTTAGTAAATATAAAGTATTTTATCAATTAATTAAACATGAAAAGCATTAAATATACATAAGTATCAATTATTTTGAAAGATAATTCTGCTACGTATTTTAAAAATAACATTCTTATTTACGTACTTAATTATGAAAAATGGAAATTAATCTGTAACTATACGACGATATTTTCTATTAGGAGGGAACACTTCTTCATCCTCGTCTTTATCAGCTGAAAGAAAAGGATCATCATAGGCATAATTTGGTGCCCATTTTAATAATAATTTTTCGAAAAATTCTTCTAAATTTCGTGCTTCTTGATAGACTTGTGATTCAACCTAAATAAAATAAAATTATTATGTGAAATATATATATATATTTTTATAAAAATTTTTTATTTTATTCTATATGCTTTTATATTATATGATTTTTATCTATTGATTCCATATACTTACAAATTTTTTAATAAAACTTACAGGATTGTATGTAAAAGCATTTTTAAACATCAATCTGATGTCTGCCATTACTTGTCTTAAATCTGTATAATGATTTGGATGTTCAGATTTTAATTTATCTCTAATTATATCTAATGCAATTGGTTTTTTTATGATGCGATGATAGTCGACTATCTGTTGATAATAATAAATAAAATAATAATTTTTATGTTTTTAATGCTTATATATATAAATTTTACATAAATTAAAATAATTATACAATAAATTTACCTCACTGGATACAACTTCACGGAAAGGTAAACTTTGTTCATATTGACAATAAAGTTCTAATACAATTCTTTGTGCAATTCGCAATTCTTTTGCACTCATAGTATTTGGTCTTTTTTCTCCTGGTGGATCATCTGAACAATCTAATACATTTGTACATAACATACATTGCCAAGTTTCACTTTCACTGAAACAAAAAAAAAAAAAATTAATAATAAGCATATTGTTATTATATTACTATTATTATATTATATTATTGAAATATTTACTCAGGAAATGATTTTAAGCTAGGAATATGACAATATAAATGGAAGACTTTTGGGCATTTATCACAACAAAGTACTGCATCTCCTCCATCCATACATACTGCACACCAGTCTTCATTAGGATCATCTTTTGCCATAGATGCTGCAGCATTTTTTGAAGTATCTATTAAACATATAATTATATATATATATATTGAATGAATATTTATTAAAAGAAATAATAGAAAATATAATTTATTTTGTAATAAAAATATAGAATATTTTATATATATAATTTATATATTTTAAAAAACATTTTGAATAATAATGCGACAATTATTTCTATTATTTTTTTTTAAAATATATACTGTATAAAAAATAAATAAGATATACTATATAAAAAACTTAATAAAAAATTTAATTACCTGATGAATTTTCAGTCATTGGATTTATTCCTTCATCAGTGGAACTATCTACTTGGGCAGAATCTAATTGATTACGTTGAGCTTCTGGTATAACTACAATTCCATTACTATCTAATTTAGCAATGGTAAGCATCAGGTCATTTAAAGATTTCTGACAAAATTTGTCTAAACTCTTTTCAGTTTCATCTGATTTCCCGGGAAGCACGGGACTAGGCGTTTTAGATACTGACGAACTGACGGTATGACCAATAGATATTGAATTTTGTGATTGAGGTGGATTATCAGA